TATCAATAATAATTTGCCACGATAAATTATTATTAATAATTATCATGAGGAGTCCTTAATTTTAGGATGTAGTTAGGCAATTAAATATTCATGTATGTGTAAATTTATTGCTATAATTGAAGGTGAGTCACATTAATTTATGTTTTTATAAAACAAGTTTGTCTTAACCCCCCCACAAAAAAGACCTATTTCCTAGGAGAAACACTGTTTATCTTGTTGAAGGAAAAACACAGGAGAAAATGACTGATATTTTCCAGCACTTCCTTCTGAGTCACATTGCGTAAGCCTGTCTGCAGGACTGGTCTGACTGTTTTCAGTCTGCATAAGGCAGGATCTGATGCTGTGTGCACACAGATGTRGTTGAAGCACTTTTTTGTACCTTATCATGAGCCTTCTCCGTGGTGCGAGGTCTCAGCTGATGGACTTCTGTCCCTGCTGCAGAAAGTTCTTCAGGTAAATCCCATACCTTCAAGGTGCAGTCCTGACTGCCAGTCACAATGAAAGCTGCTTTCAGCCTGAACAGACAAAAACAGGAAATAAATCTACTGATTTCTCTCAGTTAATCAGCCACTTTCACAACCTGTCACGTGTTGTACCTGGAGCAGCTGATGGAGCCCACAGCATTGGTGTGACTGGTGCCCTGAGCTACACATCGCACCTGACCACTGTCACTGTCCATCTGCCACACACGCACTGACCGGTCCTGAACACACACACACACACACACACACACACACACACACACAATGTCAGAATGTGCTGAACTCAGAAACGTATCTTTATTTTTGTTCCATCACAACAGTTTTTATGTTTACCTTTGAACAGCTCACAAACAGAGAGCCTTTTTTGAACACGTCCAGTGTGAGGACAGTATCTGAGGATCAACAGATAAAACAAAGCAGAGATAAAAGTCTGCATCCAACCTGCTCAGCAAGTCACCAAGCTGATGCTGTCAGAGCTGACTCACCTGGATTCTGGCTTCACGCATTTTCTTTTCTCTAAAATCTCTTAATGAAGCCTTTGTTCATTTTTATTTCAAAATCGTAACTTTTAAACTTTACAGATCCCATTACTTATTTAACATGTTACAACTCCTGACTAAAGTGTTAGGTGAGGAGTTTTCAACAGATTCTGGTCCTGTAGTATTTAATATTTGCCCCCATTGTGAAACTACAAACACATTGTATTAATAGTAAAAAACAACCCTACTAATACTGTAAAAAAAAAACAGACATGCTCAGGTTGTTTCACACAGACACACACTGCCCCCTGCTGACGACTCACCTGTGTGTCCGTAGAGGATCTGGCAGCTGTTGGTGAGAAGCTCAAACACTTTCAGCTGGCAGCTGTTGGTGGCCACCACGATGTGACTGTCACCTTTACCCAGGAACTTCACGTCCAACACCTCGTCATTGTAACCCACAAACTACAGGAGGTAACAGACAGAAGAATGTTGTTCGCATCAGTCAATGCAGCGTTATTTAGAACGCTTTTATTTTTCCAATTCAAAAATTTTATTCATTTCATTAAAAAATAACTACATACAATAAAAAAATACACAAATCAAAAATAAATAAAATGAAAGGTAGCAGAAGAAGAATAAATCTTTAATGTCTGCCTCTTTTATCCCCAGAATTTCCGTAATTTYCGTCTGTGGCTCCAAGGCTTTGGAACTCTCTTCCTCTGAATTTAAGATCAGCTGACTCTGTGGACTTTTTTTAAGCTCATTTAAAAACTTACCTTTTTTAATCTGCATTTGTTTAAACTTGCTCTGTTTATTTTTACTTTATTTTATTTTTGTATTTGTTGAAGCACTTTGTGATCTCTATCTTGAAATGTGAAAAGTTTTACTTACTAGAATATATTCAAACAAAACATAATTTACAAAACAATACTAAAAAATAAAACATCAACTCAACATTTCATATAGCTTCTCATCTTACTTTTCCACATACCTTCAACAAACTATCTTTTATCTGTTTCTTAAATATATACATAGATCTGGCATTTTTAAGATCATCTTCCAGGCCATTCCATAATCCTATACCCTGGATTAAACTATACCCTGGATTAAAAGTACATCTTTCTCTCAAGCAAGTACGAAAATATGGTTTCACAAACATTTCCATCCCTTTAAGATAATAGCAACTGTCTCTYTTAACAAAGTTTGCCTGAATGTTGGAAGGTAATACATTTCTGTGAGCCTTGTACATAAACAGTAAAATATTATAGTCAACCAAATCACAGAATTTCAAAATGTTCAGTTTGCAAAATAATGTATTTGATGGATGGTTGTAATCCTTTTTAGTGATAATTCTTATGGCTCTTTTCTGTAAAACAAAAACTGGATTTACAGTTGTTTTGCAAGCTTTACCCCAGACTTCAATGCAGTAACTTAAATGTGGAACATTTATTGAATTGTACAACACAAGCAGAGCTTTGTCAGTGAATAACTCCCTGACTTTATACAGTACTCCAATAGATCTAGATATTTTTGTTCTTAAATAATGTGAGGTCTCCATGTCAGCTTGTCATCAATGATGACACCCAGAAATTTCACCTCACCGACTTTATAGAACTCACTTTTCTCAGACTGCAGCAAATAAAAAACAAACAAATGAAGTTAGAAGACACAATTTCATTCTAGTGCTTACTTGCTGCAGTGTGGTGAGTTCAGGCAGCTGGTAGAAGAGTATGTTGTGTTCTGCAGTGACCGTGGCCAGCCTGGAGGAGGTGGGCAGGTGGAAAAAGTACATCAGACTGCGAGGATTGTTCTCCTCATCTTCCTCAGAAGCAGAAGTGGAGGTAGACGGAGGGGTCTGGGTGTAAACACAGCGAGCAGTGCTGGCCTGCCACACTCTCAGCACACCTACAGGATAAAAACAATGTTAAATTCACCAAGGATTTTAAAAATAAAGGAGATGTTGAAGAAGGTTAAGTGACAAACCTTTGCTGCCGGCTGTGATGAAATACAAGTCCTTGGTTTTCACTCCAATCTGAGATAAATCTGTATCCTCAGGCAGAAGCACGACTCCCTCCACAGCCTGCAGATAAAGGCAACAATCAGTAAGCTCACTTTAGAGACATCCTTTAAATTAAATTGTTATTTAAAGAGTCCATCCAGCTTTCACAATCTTACCTCATAAACTGGAACAGTTCTCTTTGCCTGCTGAGTTTTTAGATCCCACACTGTACAGATTTTGTCTCTACCAGAACTACGAAAAGGACAATATCTGCTTTAGAATCCTAAATGTCCACATTATAATCTGCAGAGAGGACGGGTGCACAGTACCTGACCATGGTGTCACCGTCTCTGCTGAAGCTGAGGGACGTGACGGCGCTGTAGTGGCTCTGCAGGACGCACACACACTGGCTGGAGCGCAGGTCCCACATCCGAATACCGCAGTCGAGAGAGGAAGAGAAGAGCTGCAGTCGCTCGATATCTGGGTGGAACTGGACCAGGCTAAAACACACAAAAAGAACATCAAGATGGACTGATCTGTGCACCCATTTTGCAGGACTGTCTCATGAAAAAGCCTTACTGAACTACTCCAGATGAGCCTTTAAGGTTGTGAGTGCAGTACTGCTTCACCACGTCCCAAAGTTTTATCGTCCCATCGCATCCACCTGCAAGAGGGAAAGAGAAGAAAACTTGAACTATGTTGTTTTAACAGCTGAAAACAGGTTTTTTTTTTTTTTTACCAACTGTGCCATCTCTGACCTGTAGCCAGAAGAGTGGAGGTGGAGTCAAAGGTCATGCTGGCCACAGGAACAGTGTGGATGGCCTTCCAGGAGCGAATGCATTTAGCTTGCCTCCAGTCCCACTGCTTCAGCAGCAAAGCCCTGCTGGCTGTTACAAGCATCTGGGTTGGACACAGAATAAACACTGTTAACAAACACTTTTGATTGTTTTAAAGCAGGGGTGGGCAATCCTGGTCCTGGAGGGCCGCAGCCCTGCAGATTTTACTTGTTTCTCTGCTCCAACACACCTGATTTGAATGAATATATGATTATCAGGCTTCTGCAGTACGGAGGACCAAAACTGACATAATTAGAAATAAAAGCAAAATTCTATAAAGGAACTATTAAATAAATACACTTAAAGGCACCAATTAGAGAACTTTATCTCCTGTTTTATATTTAAATTGACTTTCATATTTATTTTTCCAGGTTAGTTTCAATAAATTAGGCTATATATTTAAACACAATTTAAATTTTACTGGKTTTTTTTACATATATGTTAATTGTTTTTTCTTTACTTGTACTTGTGTGTCTTAAATGTTTATACTTAATTATGTTTACATGTTTTCCAATAAGTCTTTTTATTTCAATGTGTTGCATGCTTGTGGTGCCTAAATTTAGCTTAAAGTTTAGTTTAAAACAAAGGCAAAGAGGATTACCTCTGCCTTTATTTAAAAAAAATCTATAAAAATAATTAAATGTAAGCATTTAAGAGACACAAATTCATGTACAAAAAAAGGAAAAACTATTTAAAAATATATATTTTAAAAACCTGTAAAATTTAAATTATGTGTTAAAATATACAATTTATTGGAACTAAGCTGGAAAAATAAATATGAAGGTCAATTAAAATATAAAACATGAGGTAAAGTTCTCYTTTTTAATTTATTTGGTGCATTTTAAATGTATTTATTTATTTAAAGGTTCATTTATCTATTTCTGCTTTTATTTCTAATTATGTCAGTGTCGGTCCTCCATACTGCAGAACATGAAGAGGTAATTCGGTGACTGAATCAGGTGTGTTGGAGCAGGGAAATATGTAAAACATGCAGGACTGCRGCCCTCGAGGACCAGGATTGCCCACCCCTGTTTTAAAGGCTGATAAAATAATAATCTTTATACCGTGAAGTTTTTGCTGATTCAATTGTATGCTTACCTCGTCATCGTAGCTAAGCGCAAAGGATGTGATATCCTCTTGATCGTCCTGAAAGACAAGTTTAAACAAAAAAAAATGCTTTCAATACAAGGATTTATATGAATGGAAATTATTTAGTGTGAAAACAGCAACATATAATATCAAACGGCTATAGAGAAAGATGACACAATAACATAGATGTTTATTACATTTTACTGTCTGTTATAGTAAACGTCATCATGGCTAAGTGGTCTAATTTACAAAAAAAACTTCTAATAAAAACATTTCATTAAAAACATAAGTAATTATTAAGCAACAAAATAATTGCTTCAGCTATGATTTTATCTTAATTAACTTCAATTATTGTTATTTTAACCACACAAAGCCAATTCAAACATTATTTAGACAGTAAGATTAAACACTATGACAAAGAAGGTTTTAAGCCGAAATGACAGAGGTCTGAACTTACATGCTCCACACAGTGGATAAGCTTGCCTGTGCTGATCTCCAAAACGTTGATACGAGATCCACATGTGCAAAAGATGTATTTTTCATCGCTGCTTATCTAAAAAACGCAGACCAAAGGATATGTTAAAGAACCATTAAGCTGAGTTCATTTGTCATAAATGAGCATGAGCTAGCACGTAGTGTTTTGCAATTATTGCTTATAAACTTTTAACAACTCACCTGCACCTTCCCTCCTTTGTAAAATGGTTCTATCTTGCTGGAAACAGCATAACTGTAAAATAATAATAAATCAGAGGTTTAATAGCAATTTMAACTTAGCTAATTTTAAGGCAACAAAATCGGCGAAGTGCGGACTTACTTTGTTTTAAACTGCAGATTCTTATTCGCCATTTCGCCTAAAAAACACCTAGTCCTAAATATTTTATCAGCTACACAAACAATAAATCACTTTTTACACATTTCGCACGTTGATTTCAGTACAAACAACCATCCCGCATGCTTCTAGCGGAGTCGCGCACATTATACGTCATCAGACCGGTGCCGGAGACGGTCATCTGGGCGCACGGAGCTGTGATTGGTCAGATGTAAAAAAGATAAACATCGATTAATAAACAGCTTATTATCTGGTAGTTTAAGGTGATGTAACTTCTGAGGAATAAAATGACAATTTAATAAAGTATAATTAGTTATTGCGATTCGTTAAATTAACGAAATTTAGACTTTTTGTCGATGAGAACAATAGACAACAGAACGAGCTATTCACGTTTCAATGCTAGAAACAGCAGGGCAAGGACGGACACTCCTCATAATGACAGGAATATTCGTGTGTGTGAGTGTGTGCTGTATTGATAACGAGGGTGTGTGTTCAGTGTGTGACATGTGAGGGGATCGATATGGAGTAAACCAGCGCCGGGGATGGAAATAGCTCAGGGAAGAGGATTATCATGGTGAGTAGACAGTACTTCTAGTTTGTTTTATTTATTAGTTTAATTTATACACATATATTTAAAAAAATCTTTAAAACATGTAYCTATATGGGGGAAAAGGCATTAATTACAAAATAAATCATCAATTTTTCTGATGAATAATTTATTTTTATTACTTATTATTGGAATGAACTGAAAGTCAATTTGAAAATGACTTCAAACATGTGTAAGCATTTGTTTCATTAAAAAAGAAAAATAAAGCAAGAATTTAAAACAAGTGGCAAATAGATTGATTTTTGTAATCATGTGATCACTCTTATGACTTTCCAGATTAATTCTGTTTTGTTGTCTACCCCTTTATGTGGAAAATATTTGTAAGAGGTAGGGATGACAGCCGTCAGAACATTCATATCTGGAAATATGATGTGTATAAAAGGGAACATGTGCAAAATTCTTTTTTGTTGTTGTCATTGTTGTTGTTGTTGTTAAATACATTTTGTTGTATACTTGGAGCCTATAGGAATGCAGAAATGTTGAATATTTGCTTTTTTATTCTGTTTGGGTCATATTTTTCAACCCATTTAGATTTCTCTATTTTCTATGACCTTTTCATCATGTCACAATATTTGCGACAGAACTGCCATATAAGGTCTGGACTTACCAACTACAATTTGGTCATCTTTATTCTCCTCTGGCTCTGGGTCAGAGTCTGGCTCCAACAAGTCTGGATGGACAAGTCTTCCCTTGTTGATATATTTTAATTAATTTGTAAATAATAAGTTTCTGCGCCACTATACAATCATAAACACCTCTATTTAACTGGAATGAACCTGTCTGGAAGATGGAGGCTGGTGGGATGTGAAGCACCTCGTTTGGATTTCAAGAAACAGCCTAAAAACGAGTTGATCTGAGACACACCTCAGAAAAGGGGTGAAAGAGGGGTTCACATTACAGTTCCACTTTATGTAGACCCCAACTGAATGATTTAAATGTGATAAACAATTTAAAAGCATGACATGTTTCAATAAAGACAGTCTGCCTCCTTCATATCCCACCATTCTGCTCTATATTTTAATTTGATTCAGCACGATGTTAAACTAGGACAACATTGGATGTATTTTCAGGCAGACCCAGATGTGTCAACGCAGAGTGGGGGCTATGATGTGGAGCTGTTTGTGGACCCTCCAGACTATGATTTGATCTGCACCATTTGCCAAGGGGTCCTCAAGTGTCCAGTGAGGAGTGCGTGCCACCACATCTTCTGCAAGAAGTGCATCTTATTGTGGCTAAAAAGGTCCTGGATTCTTCTAAAGAATAAAGAAATATAATGTGTTGGAGGTGAATAAATAACAACTGATTAGTATTTATTCTGTGCAGACAGGAGACCTGCCCCTGCTGCAGGAAACCCGTAAACCCAAACTTGATCTTTGTCATGTTCAAACTGAGTAAATCTATTGGCCGCATGAAGATCAAGGTAGGAAACACATTTTTTATTACAGCTTAACTGAGTGACTGAATTATAACAACTTTTTGCTTTAATAATA